GACCATATAAGAAAAGGAGAAATAAAACAAGGAGACACAAGTGGGAGAATGACTTTGGGTGGGGTGGTCAGGGAGGTGACCCTGAAGGAAGTGACACCTCAGCTGAGAAGGGACCAGCACAGCAGAAGCCACCTGAAAAGTCCACTGCTACATGTGTATCTAGGACAAGGGTCTGGGGCACAGGAAAGATGCCTGATATTTGTTAAATTAATACTCGAGTTAAGGAAGGAAAAAGCTGCTAAAACAGGAGCCTAACTCTCAAGGGGTCCCAGCCAGAGGCTGGCTCTTCAGGGAGCCATTCTCACCAGACTGAGCTGATAAACGGGGCAGGGACGCCTGCCTGGCCAACAGCAGGGCCCTGTGGAAAGTCTGCAGCTGCAGAGTTAGCAGAGAACCACGGCTGTGGTCTTGGGCCTGTTTCCCCATCTGTCAAATGAGGTTAGTGCTTTGCTACCTCAGCCTCTGAAGTGAGCTCCAGATGATACAGTGCTTTGAATAAACAAGCCACGTGCGAGTGTGAGAGGCTGTCATGCTCCAGGAGGTCCTAATGCCAGCCCAGCAGCACCTCCCTGTAACACTGGGACCTGTGAGCTTCAGACAAGCTGCTTTGTCTCGGGAAGGTTCCCGTGCTCTGCTGCTCAGCCCACAGGAGGTGTCACCTCAGCGCCTGCCTTCCTGCCCGCACGCACTTTCCAGGTTCACTTACCGTGTACGGGCCTGTGCTAACAGAGATAAGAGATGGGTCCCTGTCCTTGAGAAAGTCACAGGGAGTCCAGAGAGTCAGATGAGCAAACAGGATGATACCCTGTGGGACCTGAGGGAGGGGACACCCGAGCTGCTGCTGAGGCCGTCAACAGCCACCACTGGGGGGAACAGTGGAGGCACTGTAGGTTTCCTACCTTGTTTCCTTTTGCCGTCACAGTTTTGGGAGGTTATCTCCGTTTCATAGATTGGGGTCAGAAGCTGTCATCTGTCAAGGTCACAGAGCCTGGACTCGCACCTGGGCCGGGGTGACTCAAGTCTTTGCCCACGGGCACATTACCATACCGGTGTGTGTGTGCTGGCAGTGGGGGAGGCAGGGAGATGGGAAGAGCCTATTGTAGAGGTGACAGCGTGCTCTTCATTTAGAGACTGGGGCCAATGGTAGGCAGTGAGGCTGGCACAAGGCCCAGGTGGACTGTGGCTTTCTTGTGAAGAAGCTGATGTGAGCAAATCCACAAATCCGGCCGCAAGGGAAAATTTCTCTGGGCCTTCTGCACAGGTCATCCCCCTGCCCCAAGCTGGCCAGCCCCTCAGAGGACATTCAGCAAGGGCATCCCGTGTCCTGCAGCCACAGGGCCACATGGGAAACCTAACTCCTTCCAGCTTCCAGCTGCTCTGACTGGGACCATGCCCAGGTGTCACTGTCACCCTGGTCTGCTGTGGACGGTGCCAGGCAAGGGTTCACTCTCCCTGGAGACCCAGCTCAGCTCTTGCTGAGCAGTGGCCGTTGTGGGGCAGGAAGAGCCGAGCTGGGCCTGGCCGCTGGTACTGAGCGAATTCTAAGGAATTTGCAGATGGAATTACGGTTACTAACAGGCTGACCTTAAAACAGAGAGGTGATCCTGGGTTAGCTGAGTAACCCAAAGTAATCACAGGAGTCCTTAAAGCAAGGCAGGCAGAAGAGAGACTCCAGACATAAGATGGGTTTGAAGGAGGCCACAGGTCAGGAAATATGGGGGGCTGGGAATGAACCCCGAGGCCCATGGCGGGCAAGGAGACAGGAACTTCAGTCCCACAACTCGATGGAACTGCATCCTGCCAACACAGAGCGTGAATGCAGGTTCACCGCCCAGTGCCCACACCCAGATCTTCCCTTGTGACTCAAGCGGAGCACCAGCAGGGCATGTGATGCTGACTTCTGACTCTCAGTTCACAGGGGACAGTAACTGGGTGCTGCTTTGAACCGCTACATCTGTGGCAATTGGTTACCAAGGTAGTAACTCATCAATGAGCTATCGGAAGAAAGATCACCTGGGCTGCAGAGTGGAGGGAACAGGGCCTAGGTTGCTGGCGGTGAAAGGACACCAGTCCCGCTGTCGGCAGTACGCTGGCCACAGGAGCATCTCCTCTGGGACAGGAGCATCGCAGTCATGAGTAGTGTTGAATGCATTCCTTCACTCGATCATTCAGCCAATGTCTCTCAAACATATCTTAATATAAGTGCTAACTGGGTGTCTGGAGCTCAAATCTCATCAAAGGACAGAAGGCCAAACAGATGACACCCAGTGAAATGAGTCCCAGGATAGGAACAAGGTCCCCACCCCTACCCCACCTCTGACACCCAGATGCTGTGGGAGGTGAAAGAAGGGTCACTGGTCCACCAGGGGTTGAGAAGGTTACTCAGGGCTTGAAGCCCTGTCCTGGGTCTTGGTGCCCAGGAAGGAGAGAGAGGCCATGTCAGGGTAGGCCACACTCAGGGGGTAGCAGCACACTGGCTGGGCTGGTGCATGGACCATAAGGGCCCTGGCCACCAGGTGTGCCGGGATCAGCTCAGACAGGAAAGTTGGGACCGAGGATGCCAAACAGGGGAGAAAGGCTTGGGTGGAGACACATCCCAGGACTTCCCCATCCTTTAGGAATAGTGACCTTCAAACCATGTGAGCCCCTGGCCTCTGGGGCCACATGCCCCCACACACCCTGACTGGGGAATAGCGGCCCACGCCGGTGGCCTGGAGCACCACACCCACACACACCATCTGTAAGTGAATGAATTCACACTTTGGTTTGTGTACCAGCCTCGGGGACTGCTGTGCCACCAGCACCTGGCACATCGCAAACAATCCATGTTAGCTTTACAGGTAAATAAAAGGCACAAAGGCAGGTCCCTGAGAGACTGGCCGCATCAGGGAAAACAGGGAAGGAAGGGTGTCTGCCCACAACAGGATGGGGGAGGGGTCAAGGCCTGCAGGCCAAAGGAAGCCAGCTGGGGACAGATGGCATCCCTGACCCTGTGGCAAAAGCCTGGAAGCTGGCTCTGCCCTCCCTCAGAAGCTGGGCAGCAGAGCCACTGCTGCACCATGACAGGACACCTCGATACCCCCTTGGATGGAGAGGGTGCACTTGTTCTGAATGAGGAGCTCAAGGTGGGAAAATATGCTCCGAGCTTTGTTTTCGCCACAAAGCTGGCAGCAGAGGCCCTGCATTCATCTGACTACTTAGGAAATTGGGAAGGACTTCTGACTGTTCTCGCAGGGTCCAGAGGACCTGACTGCCACCAGCTCCCGGGGGGTGGGGGTGGGGGCGCTGCCGGCAGCACCTCCCCTCCACGGGCTCTGCTTTCCTAGTGTGGTCATACTACTTGCACGTCTCTAAATGAAAAGTGCAAAGTCCCATGTATTGATTCGTTCAACCCTCAAAACAATCCCGTGTGCTTTCCCAAGCCCATTTCACAGATGAAGAGGCTGGACTGGTGAGGGGGTTTTCCACTGTTACAAATTTTTAGTTGACAAATCCTTCTTGGAAGGAAAGAGTACAAAAAAGACCAATGTGTGAAACAGACAGATTGGAGCCACTCTGTTCAGGGGAGGGGCGGAGGGAGACAAGGCTCTCCACAAACCCAAGTCCCTGCAGACACATCTATGAAGTCAGCCTTCAGGGCTGAGCCTGAGGGTTGGTGAAGCTCACTCAGCTGGACTCCCTTCCCCGGGGCCACAGATTGCCTGTGGGTAAAGTGAAGTTGTGAAGAGCGCCTCGGGTCTGGGACTGCCCGCCCCACACCCTGGATGCCCTGCTCATGCCCGCCTGGGGCAGGGCTGTGAGGGTGCAGGAGGGCCACTCCGCAGAGGCCCGGACAGGTGATGCATTCCTCTGATGGCCTGTCCCACTTCAGGGCCCATGACAACATCCCACACCCACTTCAGGAAACAGGTCTAGGAGAGACCGGTGAGAGCAGGAAGGAGGGCACCCAGCGCTCTGCTGAGCAGTGGGACAGCGGGGAAGACAGGTAGAAATCCTCCAGAGTCTGCCCAGCTGGCCAGAGGGCGAAAAGGTGCTCCAAATCACAGACCCGCTGCAGCCTTGCTCTTAGACACCACCCAGGTCTGTCCCCCAACTTCATAGACCAGGAAACTGAGGACCAGAGAGAAAGAGGTGAATTTGCCTGGGTTTCTCAGCTGATGTGCGGCAGGGCCTGGACAAGAACCCAAATTTCTTGACCTCCGGTCCACTATCCTTTTCCAAAGGAAAAGGGAAACATTGTTCTGCGAGAACAACACGGAGACAGGGCCAAATAAATCAAAAATGAGGACTAGATACGTGAAGGTAGAAGCCCTGTATCTGCGACGCGATTCTCTGCTAACCTGCCGGGTGACCTTGGGCAGGAAGCAGCCCCCAACCCCGGCCTGGATCCAGTTTCCTCCCCTGCTCCCCAGGACGCTGTCCAGGGGCCAAGTGGCGTCTAACACCCTCACCAGTACCTTCCACTCTGGAGTGAGAGGGACAGGTACAAGAGCGAACACCCTTCCCAGCACCCTCCACTCTGGAGTGGGAGGGACAGGTACAAAAGCGCCGCTGCCGCCGCTGCCGCCTGGGATCTCCGCACAGTCACTTCACAGGCTGCCTGAGAAACGTCCGTTGCTCCGCCAGGCGGAGTTCTGCCCCGCGAGTCTTCATCCCAAGCAAGGGCCCCCCAACCTAGTGCACTGGGTCTACGCGCGGGCCTTTTCCTTTGAGCCGCCGCCGCCCCTGCGCCGGCCCCCACAGGTCTGTGCTCATGTATATCGCCTTGCATACCTGCACCCGCTCCCTGGCTAGCAAACTCGCGCACGCGCCGTTCCCCCAAGCCGCCCGCAGGGTGCTGGCGCCTCGCCGCGGGCGCACTAGCCTCGGGCGGACTCCCAGGGAGCAGCGGCCAGCGCGGGGAGGGGAGGATCCCGGCAGAGGGGAGAAGGATGCCAACGCCCAGGCCCCGCCCTCTCCGCCCGGCCCCGCCCCCGCAGGGCCCGCCCAGGCCAGCAGGGAGGATGTGAGCTCACTCCCGCCTCCATGTTCCTGGAGTCGCCTGAACGCGTCCGCCCGAGGTCGCGGGACGCTTGGGGAGTCAGCAGCGCGCCAGGCCCCTCCGGGCGCCACACGCATTAGGTGCCTTCTTGATGGGTACGGAATGAAGGCGGGCGGTGGCTGGACCGAGTAGCCGCCGCGCCGCTCGTGCCCGCGCACGCCACACCCCAGCGCGCTTCCGGCCGGGCCACGTGATCGCGCGCGCACGTGTTCCGGCCTCTCTGCGTCGCCGTTCGGAGCCTCCTCCTGGTCGCCCCGGCATTGGTCCACCGGGAGCCGGCTTGGGCCGGGCCCGGGAGGCAGCGGCTAGGGGAGCCGCGGAGACGCGGGCGCTGAGCGTCGCGGGGAAGTAGGCCCGGGCCGGCAAGCGGCGGCCTCCGCCATGAACCCCAGGGGCCTGTTCCAGGACTTCAACCCCAGTAAGTTCCTCATCTATACCTGCCTGCTGCTCTTCTCGGTGCTGCTGCCCCTCCGCCTGGACGGCATCATCCAGTGGAGCTACTGGGCCGTCTTTGCCCCCATATGGTTGTGGAAGCTTCTAGTCGTCGCAGGCGCCTCGGTGGGCGCGGGCGTTTGGGCCCGCAACCCTCGCTACCGTACCGAGGGAGAGGCCTGCGTGGAGTTCAAAGCCATGCTGATCGCTGTGGGCATCCACCTGCTGCTGCTCATGTTCGAAGTCCTGGTCTGTGACAGGGTGGAGAGGGGCACCCACTTCTGGCTGCTGGTCTTCATGCCTCTCTTCTTCGTGTCCCCCGTGTCTGTGGCTGCCTGCGTCTGGGGCTTTCGACACGATAGATCGCTGGAGCTGGAGATCCTGTGCTCGGTCAACATCCTGCAGTTCATCTTCATCGCCCTAAAGCTGGACAGGATTATTCACTGGCCGTGGCTGGTGGTGTTTGTGCCCCTGTGGATCCTCATGTCGTTCCTTTGCTTGGTCGTTCTCTATTACATCGTCTGGTCCCTCCTGTTCCTGCGGTCCCTGGATGTGGTTGCCGAGCAACGAAGAACGCATGTGACCATGGCCATCAGCTGGATAACGATTGTCGTGCCCCTGCTCACTTTTGAGGTCCTGCTGGTGCACAGATTGGATGGGCACAATACATTCTCCTACATCTCCATATTTGTACCCCTTTGGCTTTCCTTACTAACTTTAATGGCCACAACATTTAGGCGAAAGGGGGGCAATCATTGGTGGTTTGGCATTCGCAGAGACTTCTGTCAGTTTCTGCTTGAAATCTTCCCATTTCTACGAGAATATGGAAATATTTCCTATGATCTCCATCACGAAGATAGTGAAGATGCTGAAGAAACATCAGTTCCAGAAGCTCCGAAAATTGCTCCAATATTTGGAAAGAAGGCCAGAGTAGTTATAACCCAGAGCCCTGGGAAGTACGTTCCCCCGCCTCCCAAGTTAAATATTGATATGCCAGATTAAACTCCTAGAGAGGAGCCAGGCACACATGGACTCCACCTTGCCTTTACCTCTTGTTCATTCATCCCAAACCTGGAAATGGAAACAGGCTTCAAACACTGTCGTCTCACGCCCTGTTGAGGTCACTGCCTCATCAGTATGCATCATAGATGGAGGTGGTTTTAGTATGTGGGTGTGTGTGGTGTGTACCTGGGTAAGAGACCTGCTTGCCAGGTTCGCACTTTCAGGTGTAGCCAGGGGTAGTAAGTTGGATTGTTTTAGTAGGCCCTCAAAAGGAGTAACTACACAGCTGTTTAAAGTGCTACTGTACCTATCAAAAGTATTGTTTAAAAAGTATTTTTATACACTGCTAATCTAAAATTGTATTTCAGATTGTGCCTGTTATGACATAGTAGCAAATGTAAAGAGTTCTCTTTCCCACCACTTGTTTATAAACCTCATAGTTGATATTTTTAGTGTTCCTACTGTTAAAATACCTTCTCCTTGGGCTTCGCTGATACTGGTCTTTAATATTCTGATAGGTGAATTTTTCTAATGGAATGAACCCATGCATATATAGTATTTATATGAATATTTTAGCAGTGTAATATGTTGAATTCTAGTTCTCTGCAGTACAATGTATTATGTTAAAGTATTTTTTAAAGCTTACATGTGAAGATACGTGTCTGTCGCAGATGTCCTTAAAGACTGCATAAAACAATATGTGCCTGGTGTGGATCTTACCAAAGTACTAGGCATGAATTATAGGGATTGCAAATCCCATGGATCTTAATATTGAGGTGTTAGTAACCGAGGTCTCTGGTAGTACCTGTTAGTAGAGGAAGAGGCTGCTGCCCTTGGGAGCTTGTGACATGCTCCAGTGTGGTACCAGGCCATAAAGTGACATAGTTACTTTGTTTAGTGCCTTTGTTTAGTGCCAAGTTGTTTAGTACCTTGCATTTTTCCACACAGGTAGTAACTGGAAATAAGCAGCAAGTGGTTTGTCCATTTCTAAGAATCTTAAACTATTAGTTGGCTGTAGTGTGAAGCATTACTTGTCATTGGAAAGATGGAGAGAGTGGCCTTAACCAGAAGTGGCCAACAGAAGCAGGTATCATTTTAAGGTCCAAACTTTCATCTGTCAGCAATAGGGAAACAACAGTTCAAATTCGCTTTGTAGATGAGTACAGTGTTTCTTTTTGTTTTTCTTTTTTTTTGAGACAGAGTTTCACTCTTGTTGCCCAGGCTGGAGTGCAATGGCACAATCTCTGCTCACCACAGCCGCTGCCTCCTGGGTTCAAGCGATTCTCCTGCTTCAGCCTCCTGAGTAGCTGGGATTACTGGCATGCGCCACCACGCCTGGCTAATTTTGTATTTTTAATAGAGAGAGGGTTTCTCCATGTTGGTCAGGCTGATCCCGAACTCCTGACTTGAGGTGATCTGCCCACCTCGGCCTCCCAGAGTGCTGGGATTACAGGCAGGAGCCACTGCACCTGGCAAGTACAATGTTTCTTTAGGTGCTGGTGGTACACCAGGGAATCAGGGCAGAAGCCGGATCCTGCAAGAGTAATGTTCGTCTGAGAACAAATAAATACTTTCAAAAGGAGGTTAAAATAAAAAGGAATGTTGGTGTTATTACTGTAGAGAAGACTGGATGGAGTCCACTTTTCTTATTAGTAACTTACTAAAAATGATCTAAACTGGACTCTACACTCTTTGCCCTGACCATGAGGCAAACTTGTTGGGTTTGGAGAAAAAAACATAACCCTAAATTTACTATTTTTGCCCTATATAAAGCATTAAAATAACATGCTCTGTACACATGCTCTCAACAAAACCCAGAATGCCCGAGGGAGCTACAGCTCGGCTTAGTTGGCTGGGACTGAGCTCGCTCGCGCTCTCACACACTGGCAGTTTATACCAGCCGGCAGCCCTGAGCAGCAGTGGATGTAACTTTTTATAAGTAAGGATTCATTCATTCATTTTCTCAGTATTTCTTGAAGACCTACCCCAAGCTAAGCGTGGTGCTAGGCAGTGGGTGCGCAGTGGAGAGCAAGCGGCCCTGCCCTTGCAAAGTGTCCTGTACAGTGAGAAGTGTGAGCCGCACCCACAGAGGGAAAGAGCCCAGTGCAGCTTTTGCAAAATGCAGGGAAGGATGCTGCTAGCCTCAGGGTGACCTAGAACTTTAAGCCCATCTTTGTGTTCAGGAGCCCGGTGCCTCCCCTCCACCCCTAAAGAATATCTCAAAGACATGGATTTTCATTTCAGTAAGATTTAGAGGTGCATGGGCAGGCAGTGCTGGAGGAATTGGGAGGCAGGTTTGGGGGTTGCAGTGGGACCACTGGCCCCTCCTGGCTAGTTGCAGGCCAGGAGCTTGTTGGTACCTGGTGCAAACTCCCCAACCTGAGGAGTCCCCCACAACCCCCCAGCCCATCTTAACCTTTTCCCCCAGGCTATCTGGTATTGGAGAGCCAACGTCTGGTATGGAAAAAAGCTTTCTCAACAGGTAGGCCATCCGCTGTCATGACCATTAGGTTAAAAACAAGTGACAGGTTGTAGGAAGTTGTTTGGTCTGTGAGATTGAGAGCACTGCAGCAGTGCCTGGGGATTTACCTAACTGCCATGAAACACTGATTATCCAGCGTTCAGCATGTGTCAAGTTCTGTAACTATTTCTCCTGTGATGTACCACTCAGCTTTTGCTGCAAATCAACATCAGAAATCTCGGTGGTCTACAACTGCAGATTCCCATTCTCGGGTAGTCTGCCAGTTGGCTTCTAGGTTATGCTCCAGGCCGGGGGTCCGATCAGGTCTGCTCCACAACACATCCCGTTTTCTGGGTTCCTGGTCAAAGTAGCAGCTTACCTTGGGCCGTATTCTTTCTTATGGCAGAAGCATGAGAGGCCGAGCCCTATCCTGCAAGCACAAATAATAGCCCCTGCTCACTTTCTGTTGGCTGCAACACATGGCCATGCGTGACCTCTGTGGGGTGAGGCAGTGCATGGCCAAGGAACAAGCACAGTCCACATAGGGGGCTGTCACTCCATGACCTCAGTGGTACAAAATGGTTCTCAAGAAATCGCAAGGAATTGCTTGCAGATCATCCATGATTTGTTTCCCTTGTGCTTTACAAATACCCTGAAATTTGTTTTTATTTTTTATTTTTTTTATTTTTTTTTGAGACAGAGTCTCGCTCTGTCGCCCAGGCTGGAGTGCAGTGGCCGGATCTCAGCTCACTGCAAGCTCCGCCTCCCGGGTTTACGCCATTCTCCTGCCTCAGCCTCGCGAGTAGCTGGGACTACAGGCACCCGCCACCTCGCCCGGCTAGTTTTTTGTATTTTTTAGTAGAGACGGAGTTTCGCCGGGTTAGCCAGGATGGTCTCGATCTCCTGACCTCGTGATCCGCCCGTCTCGGCCTCCCAAAGTGCTGGGATTACAGGCTTGAGCCACCGCGCCCGGCACCCTGAAATTTTTAAAAGCTGTTTCCGTTAGAAGGGATCTGTTGAGGATTTGAGGTGTGATGAGAAAGACCCTGCATTCCAGCCCCTCGGTTAACAGTGGTGAGGCCCGAGTACTCCACACAGGACAGTTTTAGGAAAGTGCTGGAATCCAAAGCTTCTCCGGAGGGCTATGCAGGGTGCTTTGGAAAGGCTAAGCCTGGGTGCAGGGAGCCCAGCCTTTTAGGTGGAAGCAGCAGACGTTGAGGGAGGCCATCCTGCCCGGCCCTGCCAGGGCCCTGACAGTGAAGGAAGCTATTGGGATACAGGTCACTCAGCCGGGCAGGAAAGATGGGATGAAGCCCAGCAAGTTCACAGGGATCCGGGAAGTTGCATGGCTGGAAACCCCGGAAGGGCTACACCACAGGGACCATTTGCTGAGGATGCTGCAGCTGCCACGGCCACCACCACTGAGAGCATGACATCCACAAAAAGGGAGCCTCCAGCCTCACCCCTGCTGCTGTGAGTACTTCCTCAGCTGTCTGCCATGGGCTCAAGATTAAGTAGCAGAAGGGAGGATATGATCGGGCAAACCTCAGGTATGTGTTCATTCTGTAGCTTCCAGAACGTGCGAGGAGACAGCATCTGGCTCCTTAGTCTCAGAGAGGAGGAGGAGGCAGGACTCTGCCCAAACTCCCTCGATAAAAGATTTTCCCAAAAGGAAGGGTGTTCAGATGCCAAAGATGACAAAGGTCCACTACACCACTTTACTTGGCTATCTGACACAGTCTCTTCTTCCCATGCGCACGCCTCAGAAATCAGGCTCCCACCTGACATAACACAACCATGCCTCGTAACAAGACAGTGGTTTCTCCCTTCCCTAGGAGAAAAGAGGCAATGCCAAGCTGCTTTATCAACTGTTAATACTTCTTCCAGCCCTCAAACCAGGATATCTGCAGGTGTCTCTCCCTCTGGTTTGGTCATGGCTCTCTCTATTCTAGGATGTATGGGTTAAAGTCAGCTGCCACACCATGCCCTCGGAAGTGTGGTCCAAGGACCCCTGGGGTCCTCAAGGTCCTTCCTTTCCCAACCCCACGTGGTTTTCTTCAGCCAGGATACCACACTGCAACGGATGAAGCAGGAATAATACTGTTGGTCATGAGGAATCCAGCAAAGATACTGCTGATTGTTAGGTGCTTAATTGAGTTAATTAGGAAGGGATCATTTTCATTAATAATAGAGTTATGAAGCGAGGTTGTCCTATTGGAGTGAAGAAAATAATAAGGGTACTATAAACAGCTGTTAAGGAGGTGGCAATAAGAGTAATAAGGCTCAGGAAGGCGGAAGCAGCTATGAGGATTCAGCAGCCTTCTGCTAAGCCAGGCTTTAAGGGTCTGCAAAAATGCAAAACGATGCCACTGCTACTGATGATATATATTTTTTGTTTTGGAAAATCTAGGTTTAAATTTTTTTAAGTTAACATGTAATAGATGTATAGTCTTAAAATGGATGAATAAATATTTTTCAGAGTTATTGGCTTTAATTTCTAAGATGCTAAATGTTGACGTAATTCATAAACAAAAGCTCGTTGGGGTCCTCAATCATTTTCAAGAGTATGAAGGAGTCTTGTGACCAAATCATTTAGAACTGCTATCCTATATTATCATGGGGGAAAGAGAATAAATAAAAGTTTAATAAAATCTGTGCTTCAACCTTTAGCCCAACCCCTGAATAGGCTTGAGTGGTGGTGGGGGGGGCGGGGGTTGAACGATGAATTGTGGCTGAATAAAAACCTAGCATATTGGAGAAGTTAAATATCTGTAATGGGCACTTTAGTTTAAGATTATTAGTTATCAGCTTGAGCTCTATTGCTAGTAAGAGGCCTAAGGTGGTAAAACCTAGGGCTGTGAGCTTTAGGTGAAGTGGTGTAGTTGTTTGGAGGGATGAAGCAGGAATAATACTGTTGGTCATGAGGAATCCAGCAAAGATACTGCCGATTGTTAGGTGCTTAATTGAATTAATTAGGAAGGGATTATTTTCATTAATAATAGAGTTATGAAGCCAGGTTGTCCTATTAGAGAAGAAAATAATACAGTACTATAAACAGCTGTTAAGGTTTAACAGCTTAAGTGTTAACACCTTAACAGCTGTTAAGGAAGTGGCAATAAGAGTAATGAGGCTCAGGCGTTGCTCTATGATGTATTTGCGGTTTCAATGATAAGGTCTTTAGAGTAAAAGCCTGTGA